CGGCGGCTGGTACCCTGCAGGGCTCGGCTCAGCGTGCACTGCGGCCTGTTAAATCGTTTGTGAATACTTGATATCAGAGGAGTCGCTCACCAAATGCTGTGCAACGTGGTTGATAGCGGCATGATGTAACGGTTGTGGCTGCAATCGTCGGCGCATTTCTAAAGCCGCGCGAGTGTTAAAGTCCTCTCACTTCATGTCCGCTCCGGCTGAGTGACTCGAATCGGACGGAACGGCGCGTGAAATGATAACTTGCGACGCGGCTCCCGCACGCTTGCACTTTATGCCCGTTTTGAAACGCGTCCGGGCTGGTTTCACTGAAGACTCTTGAGACACTGGGATGCTGTGTATGGGCATCAGGAGGCCTTTATGTGCTGAGGTGGCATGTCTTTAGCGGACAGTCACGGATGGCGGACTCCACACCATCGTTTGAGGCGAAAGGGAAGTGACGCAGCTCGGATCTGGAGATTAAAAATCGAAGTGGAAAGTCATGTCGGCCTTGGTCGACTTCGCGCTACGCAAACTGCCGGCCGGGCGGAACCATTTAGCAAACGGCTTGTCTCACTTCCAGCACGCATCGGACCATGACCACGCCATCGACTCTTTACAGCGGCAACAAAGTGGCGGTCGCCCGCTGCTCAGCATAGCAACAGCGGACCGCACAATTGCTGCCATATCCGGCGGAGGTCGTCTGACGGTTTTCCGCGTTATCGCCCGGCTTGGCTTATGACTGGCGGACAATGGCCATGGCTGCCCCGGCTCTGGGTTAGCCGTCGGGATAGTGATACTTGATGACTGACCTCCATTTGCCTTGTTCGTAAGTTTGTTCCGAATTGGTGGCAGGGCGAATCGATGCTCAAAACAAACGTGGTTGCTCACACCACATGAATAGAGTGATACAACTGCATTGCGAGCGGACCTTAAGCCATATCAAATTCCTTCAGGGGTTGGACCAACGCGCTAATACCAGTTAAACGCCCGGTGTAAGCACTATCTTTTTCTAGGGATAATTTACCTTGCAATTTATTGCAGATTTTCGCAGAAGGAAGGGTTCCATCCAATATTCGTGCAACAGAATACCTTCAAGAAAATGCTCCCCATTTTAAGATAATGAAGCATTAGACACGATGAAATAAACTCACCTGTAACTAACGGTATACTTTCAAGTGGAGAAGATTGCTCTAAACAATACACTTTCCCTGTTCAGCAAATATGCTCCCCAGTAAGTCACTGTTTGATTACGTCATCGCACCCTGCACAATACTGATTTGGAACCGATTGACCGCCATGATATGTGGGATCGTTGTCACGAACGCCAGGCATGAACGACTCGGTAATCATATTTTCTTGACCTTGATCGCTGCATGGCAAATGGAATGACAGAATTTGTGTGACGATATTTAAACGTCATGGAAGATGAGGTGACCTTGAAATAGTCCCCCCCCCAAAAAAAAATTATGCACATCTTCGCGGGCGTGAAGCTCGGAAACTAGAGGGGCTTAGGTCTTTAAAAGGATAGCGCTGCGAACTGCACTGAATGATCTTCGTCGTTGGCGAGGAGCTTTGCAACGCACTCAGCTGCTGAGGCTATATGGTGTCGCTTGCCTCTCACCCTGGCAGGAAGGGCGGGCACCGCGGGGAATCGAACCTTGCGTCTCTGGTTTCCCACACATGACGATCTTCAAGACGGCTGCTTCAGTTCAAAACCCCAAACAAATGAGGAGCATTCCCTTGAAGTGCAGGAGTTGCACGGAGCTAGTGAGGAGTGTACCCCAGGCACCTGGGGACACACGAGCACCCAGTGCACCCGCTTGACTACAGACCTGATTGCCAGTAATCACGGACGGACGGTTTTTTCGCCAACCTTCGTATCAGCAGTAATCGCAGTGTTCATTGCTCTTTGCCTAATAAGCGTGTGGCGGCCGTGACAGGTCATGCCCTCCGGCCAGACGGCAGCCTGGCCTGCTGGTCCGGTGGGTCGGACAGTGCCCGCTCTCCGGGGTTCAAACCGAGAGCCGGATGGCGAGCTCAGCATCCTGCCAGTCATGGCGAAGGCCTTCTCTTTTCGACCCCCGCGTGACTTGTGCACGCCTCCCACATCAGTTGCCTGCATGATTAATGCCCGTCCTTCATGCACGTCCACGGTCGGTTTGAATATCGCAGGTCGACCTTTGATATCGCGCTATCCCAGTAAAATCGGTGTTTAATTCAGCCGTGACGACGCAATGTGCTGACTGGGTAAGCTCACACCATCAAACATTGAACCAATTCAGGTCACGGGCCAGTCGTTCAATCAATACCGAGTTGCGGGGGGCGACCGCCTCCGATCAGCAGCTTGATACGGCGGCCCAGCGCACAACACGCCGCGGCTGGCCGTCCTGCGCCACTTCCAAGCCACTTGCATTGGGCAGCTGCCTGCCGCCGCTCACCGCCGCGCGCCGGCGACGCCGCCATCGCACGACCGGCGTCGCCTGAGGCGAGCGAGGGTGAGGTGCCGGCTGCTCCGGCCGTTCTCAGGATCACGTGACGCTGGCGGTGTCGCGGCCAATGTGGCTCGCCTCCCATAGCGGTCGCTGGCGCCGCTGATGTGAACAAATCGCACCCGGGGGGGCAAACTGATGAGATGTGGTCTCCGGATACGCGGCGGTAGCGGGCTGCGGGCCACGTGAGATGATTGTATTTTCAGGCCAGGGTTTGCTAGAGCAAATAATGATATCCCAGTGATGACTCTATAGGCCCTGTCGAGAAACATGACCCAAGCTACGTGTCATCTCCCCGTGCTTTCCTAAATTGCTGCGTAATGGCCTGGCCATGATCTCGCTACGGAGGCATCGAACAGGGTCGCATGGGGGGAATGAGCCACTGGTATGCTTTTAAGCACGACAGCCTGTTCTAGACAAAAGTTCCAAACTTTCGCTAGTTTAGTAAATATGCCTATCGTCTGATTACGTTTCGTAACAATGTTATGGCGTCAGAGTCGTTGCCAGGCTGGCCGTGTCAGAATGTCGGTTGAAGGAACACAATGGTGTGTAGTATGGCATGGTCAAAATAAAGGTTATGACGTAAATAAACTTTAAACTTTGCATTTGTCCAAGCGCATAAAGTGGCATTTTCACTACAGTTCGTGGAGTTAGAATGGTGGCATAGAAGGAAGACCGGACATCATGACCTTAACTGACCTTGCATGAGCTTGTCTGGCCGTGGGACCCTATGGCACTAGCTTGCCATCATACGCTGCCAAGATGCATGAATGGACAACGTAGAGTAAATCCATCTATGCATGCCTGGATATACTGGCCATGTAGTGACCTTCACAACCTCAGTGACATTTCCAGGCTTCGGATTGAGCGCCGTACTCCTTGAGTGATTCTACCTCCTAAAGTTGTTTTAGCATACCCCATAACGCCTGCAAAATCTGCCTTATTCATGTTGAGCTTTGTTGTGACACTTTTATTCATGACCTATACATTCATGTTTAGTATTTGTCCACCTTCAAAGATTCAGGTTTGACAGCCGTTTGAAATTTGTCCTATTTTGGTCCTTTCTGGAGTAAATGACCTTGCATGGACCTCTGGGAGCTTAAGCGTTACTCCAAAAATTACAAAACCAGTCAATACGCCGTGTTTTTAATGAATGGTGAAATTAATTCCATCAAGAGAGCTTCACGCGTTCAAGTTACTCCGAAAAGTGACCCACTGAGGAGCGGGTTGGTAAAAGTCACGCACAGCAATGCACGTGTTCACGCCCATTTGAATTTCAAGCACCTCATTTCTTCACAAAAAGTTACGCTTGATCAATTTCTGTCTCTTTGAAAATGTTCCCTTAGAAGCAGCGTGATTCCCAAACCCGTACGTATATCCCCAACGCTCCCGGGAAATCGGCTGACTCGTTTTCTCTACGTATATTGTGTGCGGTCTGGTGCACGCCTTGTAAACGGATTGGTCGACCCAGAAGACTGCACAGCTTTAAAGACCCCCGTTGGGGAGCGCCGCTCGCCTCAGCGCCATCCGGCAGCAGTGTGCGACCTGGCCTGACCGGGCCGAGGCCGGGCAGCGGGGCGTCGGCGACGCCGCCCGCGCCGTGCCCGCGACGCAGGCGGCACGGACCGGGCGCGGTCTCGGCGGGGGCCGCCGGTGGGCGCGGCGGCGGCGGTGAGGTCATGACCACCTCAGTCCGTATCCGAGCCATAGCCGGAGCTAGCAGCTGGCGCGCCGCCTGCCCCACCCATGCGTGAGCGGCAAAACGTGCCGCAATGTGGGCCAGTCACGCGGCCGCCGCCGCGGCGCGAGTAAACCGCCGCCCGTGACACGTTCACGTGTATTCTACAGCAGACGTTCTCTGACTACAACAGATATCACATCGCTTCAACTCAGTCAGGGCCGCGGCTAGAAGCGTTCGAGCGCCGCTCGCTGCGGCCCCGCCGCGAGCCGGGCGCCGTGGGGCGCGCGGCGACCGCGGGGGACGAGGCGCGAGACATAAACAGCGAGAGCGAGGAAGGGGGGCGGGGGGCGTGAGAGCGAGGTAACGCACGCTACTCGGCGCAGTCTGACAGCCACGTGCGGCGCACGGCAGTGACAATTGGATTGGAAGAGCGTTAGTTCACCAACCAGCCCCAACCTTCGGCATGCGCAACAATCAGGCTATCGGCACGAACAGACGCCACACCGGGCCGGCGCCGCCACCGAAGCACCCGCCCGGCGCGGGACCAGCTAGACAGAACCTTACACGTCGAGATCAGAAGATAAAACAAATTTTCCAACTCTACACGAACATAAATAACTTCAAGCGCCTCCACTTACGATTGTCTTATGCATATCAATGTGCGTTTATATAATGCAGTATCTACATAAAATGGAGAAATGCCTCTCTAGCTGCAGACAAACTCAACCGTGACACCACTGACAAGCGCGGGCCCGCCGGCCCACACACCGCGGCGCGGACACGCGCGCGCGCTCACACTGCATCGCAGTCCCCGTCCGCCGCTGGGCGCCGTGCGACGGCCGCTACACGCAGCCGTACTCGTACCAGAGCGCATTGGCGGCGGCGCGCTCCTTCTGCGAGGCGGCGTCGGCGGCCGGAGGCGGCGGCGCCTGGCGCGGCGGCACGGACGGCCGGCGCCGCTGCAGCGGCGTGGCCGGCATGCTGCGCGCGCCGGCCGCCGGCGGCACCGGGCTGGCCGAGTAGGGCAGGGAAGCCGGCTGACTGGGCGTCGGCGAGCCGCTGTGACTAGAGCTGAGGGAGTCCGGCTCGGTCAGCAGCGGCCGGCGCAGCGACAGCGACTTGGCCGGCAGCGGCGGCGTCCGGCTGTGGGTGAGGGGGAGCGGCGTCAGGGCTGGACAACTGAAGGACTGATGCATAGAAATCACAGCAGCTGTCAGGATCCGCATAACGCAGCGCCAGATAGTATCTCAGAAACACGACTCATGGATTATCTGCGATCACGCACAAGAGAATGGCACGCGTTGCAAGTTGTATCCATATTTAACAGGCGTTCGCGGTGAAGCAAAACAGCTACATGCTGGCAAAATGGTATTTAATCATAGCCGCGCTCTCTTAACCTCAAACAGAGTGAAATCATTGAAGTAAAACGAACTTGTGCTGTCTTGTCTAGAAGTAAAACGAACTTGTGAACTTGTCTGTGATGTAACGAAGGTGGTCGTGTATATATATATATATATATATATATATATATATATATACCAAAAAGCTCTTTTTTGCACAGCTGGGATTGTGTTCGGCTGAGTTCGAAAGAGATTCGACGCCTATGATTGGACGTCGCCCACCTTTATGTTGAAAATAAAGGTGGAAAAACGTGCCCGGGGCGGGGTTAGTGCAATCATTAGAAACGTCGCACGGCTTCCAAATTCAGCCGAGCACCATCCCAACTGTCCAAAAAGAGCTCTCTCAGTGCCCACCTACCAACGCGTCCCTCCGTAGCCGCCACCGACTGGCTACACGCCCAAACAACCGCGAAACCGCAGCAAAACCGTGCGCGCGCTCGACGAACACCGTTCCGCGCCGTCTCTGCTGACCACCGGGGCGGTGGCCGGGAGAGAGGCCCGCGCGCGCGCGCCGAAGCCACCCGCCGCTGGGAGCGAGGCCCCACTGACCTGGCGTCCGGAGTACCGGTGGCGCTGCGCGGCGGCACCTTGGGCGGCGGCGCCGGCGACTGGCCGTTGATGGTGATGGTGCTCGACTCGTCCGCCTCGATCGAGATGGTGGTCGTGTGGTCCGGGGAGGTGGCCGGGCCTTCGCCGCTGATGTTGATCAGACTCTGCACGGGCGGGCGGGGCGCTGGGTCAGCGGGCAGTAAGCGGGGAGCGCGCTGGACCAGCGAGTGGCCCACTGGGTCAATGAGCGGTCAGCGGGCGGCGCGCTGGATCGGCGGGGCGGGGCGCTGGGTCAGCGGGCGGTCAGCGAGCGGCACGCTGGGTCAGGGGCCCGCCGGTGACGCCGCCGGGCGTCGCGTCCCGGCTCGCAGCGGCGCGCCGGCGCGGGGCGTGCTGTTCCCACTAATTGGTATTTCGCAAGTGGTCCGGCAGGTGGATGACGCGGCTGTTCCAGATAATTGATTGACGTGTGAAGCAGGTACCAATGGCCAGTCCAGTGGAGACCGCGTTTAGCGCACTCTTATGATTGTGTTATATCGGCGATATATCTTAAACTGTTGTGATTTTAAGCGTGCGAACGTCTTCTGTACAGCCTGAGCCGTTTATAGCGTAAATGGTTATTCGGCAGAAATGCCTTACATGTCTGTTACTCATATAACACTCACATAACCGCAACATGCAGCCACTTGAGTTGATAACTTCAGCTGTTCTGGGATAAGAAATGTATCGGTTGATCCGGCTCATCTCGGTCCGTTTGGCATGGCCAACCCCTATCCCCTCTCACTGGTCCCAGCTGGTCGTCGTAAGTCCGATGTGCCCCCGGCCTGTCCTTTGCCCTCTCCCTCCCCCTCCCGCGGGATCCCACGCCGGCAACACGGATCGGGCGTCCCCCCAGTCGGTTCGTCTGCAACCCCAGGGCCCCTACCTGGAAGCCGCCGCCGTTGGCCGCTGTCGGCGTCGTCTTCAGGGACACAATGTCGGCCGAGTGGATGCTGGAGACGGAGCCGACGGAGGGTCGAATCAGCACCTCCGAGCGACACCCGGTCAGACCGTCTGTGGGCGAGGGGCGTCACCAGGTCAGGGCGGCTGACGGCCCGCATCACAGGATACACTGTCTCTGAACGGTCGTAAGGTCAGGTCTGGTTCGCCCAGCACCCCAGAGCGACATGCCGTCCGCGGGCATGTAAGGACACCACGGGAGCGCAACATCGCCACAGAATGAAACGTCGTCTGTGGACAGGTTAGGCCGGCAAAGATAAGCGCCCTAGAGTGATGAGCATGCGCAGCAACGGATCCGTGACCTGTCCTCCTGTCCTTGTCCTGTCCTGTCCTCATCCGTGCGCACGTCATGAGGACAGGTCAGGGGCCGGTCAGCGCCGTGGAGTGGTGTGCGGTCCCTAGTACGGTCACGAAGCCAGGCCAGCGGCCGACCAGCAAAGCGAGTGATATACAGTCTCTGGACAGGTCACGTCGTCAGGTCGGGGCTAGTCACCACCAAAGCCTAATGTGCCGTCAGCGGGCGTAGATTAAGAAGTACGGTTTTGGCTCATACGACTAATCGCGCAGACACACTGATAACACGCAGGCGGTAGATACTGTCATCGTTTGGCAAGGCTTGACGTGCGATAACGAACAGCTTTGTATTTATTTAGTTATAAGATTATACGATAAATCTGCCAGCCGCATTACCGGAAAGCAGCCTGCCTGCGCTTCAGCTTCCCCCGACCCAGGTATAATGCCTAACTGGGCGACCCGTTGCGTTAGCAAGGCGAACGGCGATAAAACGTCGCCGAATACGTCGCTGGGATTCCCCAGCACCCGATCTCGGTGACGTCACGAATAGGCTGACTACGCGCATGACGTTCGACGGAGAAGGGCAGGGAGCCTGGATCAACTGGTTTATCAGATCACGGGGGTTGACGTCCGCCTGAACTGAAGATCATGTGTGTTTGTGGGCGAAGGGAGGGGAGGCTTATGACGTTCGCCGGTCAGTTATAAACACACAAATCTGGGGAAAAACTTATGCAAAAGCTCAGTTCTTTTGATTTTTTACTAAAGAAGCCAGGCGCGCCAACACAATGTTTAAGTCATCTTTGTGCCAAAACGAGCAGAGAAAGATTAATCTGAAAAGCAGTTTTGAACTTCCACAAGTACCGCACACTCAAACACTTACTTTTGTCCGCCATCTGTCATAACGCCATGGACTCTCACACGATCATAATGATAGTGTTAATAGCATCCCCCTCCCCTCAGAATCATGAAGTCAAAACTTCGCGTGTCCTGCAAGGTGAACATAAAACTCCTGGCAAAACAAAAGGAACATAAAAGAATCGACACAACATGTTTCAAGTTCAGGGGTGTAGTTTCGCATTCAGCTGGGGGAAGGGCCTTCAGCCCCCCCCCCCCCCGGACTCCAACCCACCACTTTGGGAAGAAGGTAGCCAAATCTGGGGAGAAATCTGTTTCTTGGCATATTTTGGAGCTAAGTCAGGTTTTTCCAGTATTTTTTAAAGCACACTACCCCCCTCCCCAAACTCATTTTGTGAAACTACGCCCCTGCGTAAGTATCTACAAACTTAATCAAGAAGCGGGTTTGTGGGCCACATCCAGACACATCATGGCGATGCAGTGGCTCGAAGCAGAGCACGAAATCCCTTGACGACTTGAGTCAGCGTGAGACCTCGCATGCTCCCACTAGCACTGTTTCTGCAGCGCTGTCTGCCATCTCGCAATGTGCAACGTCCGCCTTTTGTTTCAAGGGTCGCACCAGAGACCTTTTAAAAGCATGATTGGGGATTTAACACCATTGCCCTATTCGTGTCACTCACGCCACGCGCCAAAACGGACGGATGTTATCATGCCTCGTCGTCTCAGGATATTCGGGGCCATCATCATTAGGATATCAACGCACGCAGATAACGCCACTGGCCTGCGAGGAGACATATTTCTTCGACAGCCCGAACCGTTTCAACATTTCTTTAAGTAGGCGTTCTCTGTCAATCACATCAGTCTTGTCAGCGGCCGATTGTTGAAACCCTCCCGCCTCCCGCTACGACCTAGCCTCCCGAAGTTCTCCCAGTTGGGGGGGGGGGGGGGGAGGACGTACTGGGCTGTCCGGGTCCGACGTCTCTGGTCGGAATGGAGTCGTCCTCGTCGTTGTAGTACATGGCCCGTCGCGTGCGCCCCATCGGGCCCAGGCTCAGCCGGTGACTCAGCTTGCCTGCCGACGGAGGAGGACCGTAAGTGGCGCGGCAGAGACAGTGGCGGTCCAGGTGACGGCAGGCGGCGCTGGCGGCGCCTCAGAGGTCTGGCACCTGCCGCCGCCCGGGCACGTGCTGGGTGGTGGACGACAGTGCAAGTGCGCCGCTCATTAGCCTGTCGCCGGAGACGCGCGCGGTAGAGACGGGATTCCGGCATGATGCCGCACTGGACAGTCGTTTAAACATGACCTTGAAAGTGCGCATGGTACAATGGGGTCAAACATGACAACACGTGCTGTGCAGGCTTGTTATGGAAATATATGCACGCGAACTTTTACTTCGTACTTTATGTTTCTGTGGCTAGCGCCACCGACACGTGGTGTTTCTACAGCCATCTGTGCTGAACATCATGCCTCTGGCCAATTCTCCTGACCACTGAGCCCCCTTCACCCCTTTCGACCACAAATATACACACTAGCCCCTTACGCTGACCACCGCCCTTCTCCAGTCGGTCCCACTGACCACCACCGCTCATCGGTTCGCCTCACTAATCGTTACCCTCTCCAGTCCGCCCACTGACCATCACCCTCTGCTCACCGTCACCCGTCTCCAGCCGCCCCACCGACCGTCGCCCCTCTCTTCAGTCCGCCCACTGACCGTCACCCTCTGCTCACCGTCACCCCTCTCTCCAGCCCGCCCCACCGACCGTCGCCCCTCTCTTCAGTCCGCCCACTGACCGTCACCCTCTGCTCACCGTCACCCGTCTCCAGCCGCCCCACCGACCGTCGCCACTCTCTTCAGTCCGCCCCACTGACCATCACCCTCTGCTCACCGTCACCCCTCTCCAGCCGCCCCACCGACCGTCGCCCCTCTCTCCAGTCCGCCCACTGACCATCACCCTCTGCTCACCGTCCACCCCTCTCCAGCCGCCCCACCGACCGTCGCCACTCTCTTCAGTCCGCCCCACTGACTGTCGCCCCTCTCCAGTCCGCCCCATTGACCGTCAACCCTCTCTGCAGTCTGCCTCACTAACTATTACCCCTCTCAAGCCCTTGCCCATTATCCATCACCGCTCTCCAGTCCGCCCCACTGACCGTCAACCGTCTCTGCAGTCCTCCCCACTGACCGTCACCCTTCTCTGCAGTCCGCCTCACTAACCATTAGCCCCTCGAGCCCTGCCCATTAACCATTACCACTCTGCGTCCTCCCCACTGACCGTCAACCCTCACTGCAGTCCGCCTCACCAACCATTACCCCTCTCAGGCCCTCCGCATTGACCGTTACCCCTCTCCAGTCCGCCCCACTGACCGTCACTCTCTACTCACCGTCACCCTCTTTCCAGCCCGCCCCACCGAACGTCGCCCCTCCCTTCAGTCCGTCCCAATGACCCCACCCCTCTCCAGTCCGTCCCACTGACCGTTTGCCCTCCGCTCTGCCGGCTCGGTGGCCCGCAGCAGCGCTGACTCGTCGATGGAGACGGAGGAGCGGTAGCGTCGCCGGTCCTCCACCAGCGAGAGGGGCCGGCCGCCGAGCGAGCGGCGCGACGTCGGCCGCTCCACCGGCGTCGGCTCGTCCACGCCCGCTTCGTCCTCTGTGGCAGCGGCATGGAGCGTCAGGCGACGGCGAGTGACACGGAGCGTCAGGCGACAGCAAGCGCGAGAAACACATGATCCCTGCCGTCGCCAGTTAGTGCTTGTGGGTGGTCAAGGCACCGTTTGCGGCTGATAATACTGATGATTCTGACGGAGAGAAGCGACGATGCGCGAAAAAGACAGACGAGACGTATTTGGCAATATCGACATTCATACCTATTAACAGTTTGCGTGCCTGATTGATTTACATAGCGGGTACGTCATAACGTCCGTTCCAAAAGACGTTACTGACAGCACCCACATCGTCGGCCGTCCCCGCCTTTCCAACCATCTGGGTCGCCGTCCCGCCCCCTCACAGTCACCGGCCGCCGCGCCGACCGAGCCCGCCCACACGCACCCTGCTGCGGCGACTTGCGGATCGAGTCCGGTCCACTGTCGATGCTGTCGTTGCCGGCCGAGCCGCTGCCGAGGCTGGCCGAGTCCGGGCTGTCGGTGACGTCATCGAGCCGCGTGCGCGAGCGCGAGCGGGCCGAGCGCGGCACGCGGCTGATCAGGTCCGTGCCGGCGCGCTTGACGCGGCGCACCAGGTTGGCGCCGAACCCCCGCCTGCGGCCGCGAGCCGACGTCAGAGGGACAGCGGACGCGGCGCCGGCGGTGAGGGCGACGTCGGTCAGCGATGTCGCGCGGAGAGACGCGTTAGGACGTTTTTGTGAGAAAGAGTCCGGGGCTTCAGGGAAAACGGGTATTGTTCGAGTGGTGAGTTCTGTCTTGACAGACGTGGTGTGAGATGAACCGTTGCCAATCGCGTGTTCGAATAGTTCAGGATATGCTAATTACTTGTGTCCCTGGAGCTGTGTTCGCGATCTTACTTAGTATTGGTGTATGCTGTTTCCTGCACAAAGTTCGGGCCCCATCACACACCACAGGAAAAATGGTCTCACAAAAGAAAACAACAACGAGCATTCTGCACCAAGAACACCTAAAACTTGGCTCTTCATGGCAGACGCACATACGCACCACGAGCAGGCAAACAGACGACTGAAGAACTGCATTCATCCTGCCTGGCACATCCATGACGGGCAATGCGACCTATGCTAAACGCGAATGAGCTTTGGTTGACAGTGATCACAAAACAAATTCATGCTTAACAATTTTCCTCAACATTTTGTATGCTTCGGAACGAGTCTTCTATTGAGCCACCAAAAGCCCGCCTGTGATGCACATGGACGCGTAGCATGCCACGGCGGCGCATGCAAACACGACGGAGAACAGCAATGGCAAAAAGCCTTCCGACCAACTCACGACGATTGGGGCGAAATGGTCTCCTGTTCGCTAAGGACGTTGATTGCTATTAGCACGGGCCCGGGAACAGCACACCAGTTCGACATACCGAGCGCTCGCAAAGTCAGTCTCCAGCATCTGGTAGGTAATATGACCACTGCTTAGAAAACACAGTTAAATTTCGATGAACGCGCTGCCACAAGCAGCACTACTTCTTTCTGTGTGATGACACACAGTAGACACAGTATGCGCGGCCATGACTTGTCTGATGCGTTGCATCGGTTGCCAAGGTAATCGCCACAAACAACACCCACGGTCCAAGTGCTTCTCAGCAACCGAGAACTGGCGCCTCCGCTGCCCCCACCGCCGCGGATCTCACTTTTTGGGCGTGTAGTTATCCATGCGCCGGTACTGCTCCATGATCTTCTCCTCGAGCTTCTCCTTCTGGCGGCGCAGGTTGTTGAGCTTGTCGGCCAGGTGTCGCTCTTCCTCGTGGAAGTGGTCCTTCTCCTCCAGCGTGGCCGACAGCAGGTCGTGGTACTGGGTGAGCAGCACCGTCACCTGGCCCATCAGCGAGCGCCGGTCCTCCTCCAACGCCGTGTTCAGCTGCGTCAGCACCTGAAGGAGGAGGCGACCGGGGTGCCGTCAGCGGCCGGGACGGGGCGGTGGAGCGCCGTCAGCAGCCGAGGCGGGACGGCCGGGGTGCCGTCAGCAGCCGAGGCGGGACGGCCGGGGTGCCGTCAGCAGCCGGGACGGGGCGGCCGGGGTGCCGTCAGCAGCCGAGGCGGGACGGCCGGGGTGCCGTCAACAGCCGAGGCGGGACGACCGGGGTGCCGTCAGCAGTCGAGGCGGGACGGCGGGGGTGCCGTCAGCAGCCGAGGCGGGACAGCCGGCGTGCCGTCAGCAGCCACGCCTCGACAATTTCCACGTCATCGCGACCAGGCGGCTTCGCTGGGAACGGCCACTGACAGCGTGCTTTCTCCACAATGTTTTTTCGGGTGAAACTTTACAATTACGCAAGCTGCTCAGTGCATTTGCGAGGAACATTATTCACAAAGGTGAGACAGCAGTAATAGCATTATTCCTCGGAAAAACAACAGGAGAATGGAAATAAAGATGGGTAAATATTTCGGAAAATGCCTTTTGCCTTTCGGAAAATGCCAGTAACAATAGCAGAAGCGAATTGAGGCATGTTGTCGAAATATCAACCCATCTATATCTCCACTCCCCTGGGTTTTCTCAGAGGAATGCGGCTATTACTACTGTCTTATGACGCCTTATAATACTGAGCTCGAGCCACAGCCTCGTTCCAAAACGCCTTACAGGGAGAAGCATCCGCCATCCGGGGGAGGGATCTTAACACCCATGAGCATTTCTACTGGACGCGTGGCACCCGTGGATCTCTCTAGACATCTTCTAAGCCTTTCAATAGCACTGGCGGGCATTTCTATTGCTTTCAACATATTCCTCTTATTCTATCGTCCCGGCGTAGCGCCATTTGTGTGGCCATTCCGAGTGACCCCTCCGCACCCTTCGTACCGTGCCCGCGGGCACTCAGGTCATGACCCACCTCGCATCGGTTGGACAGCTTGGAGATCTCCACCTCCAGGCCGTTGATGTGGTCGCGGTTGTCGCACATCTGCCCGCGGACCTCGGTCTGCTTCAGCTTCAGCGTGTTGTTCTCCGTCTTCAGCGACCTGTAGTCGGACTGCAGCGACTTGTACTCGGTCTTCAGCTTCTCGTTGGCCGTGAACAGGTTACGGAAGTCGTCCTGAAATGTGAGTGGAGACGTGGCAAAGTGGCCTTTCATTCCTTCGTCACCTGGAGAGAGTGATCAAATATGCAAAACGGACCGAACACCGGCATACTAAAACTATAAAAAAGGCCCGAGCTGAACTCCAGACCGCTGTCAAATGGATTGTTTTTGTGTTCTTTGCGTGAGGCCCAGATGTGCTAGTCTGCCTTGAAAACCAGAATAATCTCCGCACAATGCGACAATGCTTTGCTAGGATGTGACAGTAATGGGCCGATCACAACAAGATGTTGATTCAGTGTGCACTTAACGGTTGCATGACACTTGATGTCAAGCAGGGTCACAGCGAATCCCGCGCCGGTTATAACATCGAAGCCGGATGTCGGGAACATTCTCAGGCCGTAACACCATAGCATGGCATATCGCCAACCAGCCCTCCACAGCCAGCCCCGCCAGACGGCGCCACTGCAGCCCCACCTTCAGGCGGGAGTGCTCCTCGCGGAGGTTCTGCAGGGAGCGTGTGTCGGTGCGCAGGCTCTCGCGCTCCTCCTCCAGCGTCTCCTTGATTTTGACCAGGTCGTCCTGACCCGATGTGACCGCGTCGTACCGCTCCTGTGGATAGGGGGGGGGGGGGGCATCAGTCGATCGGTCGGGGAGGGCAAGGGTCGACGTTGAGTGACGTATTTGACAAGAGGCGCTCGAATAACTTCTTAATTCGAGAGGTGTTACGGGTGCTTCGGGGATTTTGGTGGTGCATGGGCACGTGCATCTACGTAGGTGCATCTACGGGCGCATCGATACGATTTATACATAAAGGGCCTAGCAGTCTCTCCCCACAGAAATATTTTACACTATCAAACGGTGATGCATTTGCGTCGTTCAGACCCCCGGAGTTCTTCCCATATTGAGCCTCTCATACGGGACGCACTCATGCCTTTAAGGCACGACCACAGGAGCCTACTCAAGCCTGACACCGTTGCTCTTTCTCATCCCCAAACCAACCCCGCCTGACATCCCGCCCGGCCGCCGCGCCCCGCACCTGTAGCGTGCGGTACTCGTGCTTGACTGTCTTGTTGGCGCCCTTGAGCGCGGCCTGTTCACGCTTCAGCTGCTCGTACTCGGCCGTCAGCTGCTCATGCAGCCGCTGCAGCGTCTCGTGGTCGGCCAGCAGCTGCTCCTGCGAGGAGCGCAGCTCCTCCTGGTGCCGGCTCACCTGGCGGCCGTGACGTCATAGGTCAGCGGACGGGACGGACGTGACGTCACAGGTCACGGAGCCGACCGGGTGATGTCAGGAGGACTCAGGTGTCGCCCACGCAGCCATCCAATGAAGCCACTGGTGTCGCAGCCACAAAGCCACCCAATGAAGTCATTGGTGTCGCACCCACGCAGCCACTCCATGAAGCCATTGCAGATCCCACGACTGGCCTCCAAGCGTCACTCGCAACGCTGCATAACACGAGATACAGCATTTCGACGTACTTGAAAACACGGCGTCTTAAGATCCGGTGCATTATGGGGGTCGAAATTAGGTAGTGATTACCGCACTTAAAATATTTCAGCCTCCAACATAGCGGACTAAGACACCCAAATGCTAGAATATGTCAGTCCTTTTGCAACTGCACGAAGAGGACGCACAATACTGAAGCGCAAGGTTGGCTATTATAACGAGCCGCGGGGTTCGACTATCCCGCCACCGCCAGCTGGTCCTCCCGACCGTGCCCGGCGGGGCTCGGCGCGCCTCTGACCTGCTCCTTCTCAGCCTGGCCGGCCGAGGCCTGCGTGCGTAGCGTGCAGATCTGGGCGGTGAGCGCGGCCGCCTGGCTCTGCACCGTGGTGTGCTCCACCTGCACCTTGGCCAGCTCCGACTGCACGTTCACGTTGTGCTGCGTCAGCGCCGACATCTGCGACTGGAAGTTGGCCACCGCGGCCTGCAGCGACGTCACCTGCTCCGTCAGGCTCTCCTTCTCGCACGCCAGGTTCTCCCGCTCGTTGATCAGGTTGTTGTTCTGCGGAAGAGGCGGAGGTTGGGCCTCGCTGATGCCTTCGCCGATGCCGTTCCGCTGCCGTGCTGGGTTCACAGTCGCTTTCATGTCAAGGAGGCCAAATGTGCAGTCGGCTCATATGGCGGCCTTTTACGAGGTGGCAAGTGTGGTTTGACACGGAAAGGTGAAACACAGAAGTACGTGGCTGAGTCTTTGTGATCAGAGATTGTAAATGGCGCATATAGTTCGCATCACGTCCTTGAAAAACATACCCGATGCTTCCATGGCAGATATATATATATATATATATATATATATATATATATATATATATATATACATACATATATATATATATATATATATATATCTGCTCAGGTACTTAGACGCTCAGGTACTTAATATATATATATATATATATATATATATATATATATATATATATATTAAGTACCTGAGCGTCTAAGCGATTAACTTAAATGATCTGGAGATGTTGCCATCCAGCCGACACGTTTGAAGCTTATCATAAAAAATTAAAATTCAGCACATCGGTGGAAAACATTCCAACAACAGCCCCGTGGCCCACCAGCCCCCTAACCGGTCTACCTACCCTGCGCTCCATCTCGGCCAGCCTGGCCTTGACCCCGCTCAGCTGTTTGGAGCTGTCGCTGGTGACCTGGCCCGTCTCCTGCTGCAGCTGCTGGTACTCCTGACGCACCGACGACAGCTCGGCGCACACCATCTGTCGGCCGCACAAGGAACTACAGTGTGGTAGCGGCACACGGGTTGGAAAAACATCGTGTTCAGAGTAAGTGTGAAAACTGCAGGTACCAAAGCATGCACTTTGCGCCCATTCTGGCCATCCTAATTACAGGAAATTATCAACGGCGGGGCTGAACAAGTGCTGACGTAGAGTGTGATACAATATATTCCACATAATGTCGAAGAAGAATTCGCGGTCACCAATGACCACACATACCTGTTGTCTTTCTTGCGCCTCCTTCAGCTTGGCCTCCAATGAGGCAATCTTTTGGTCCTTAACCTCCATCCCCTTTTTCAAAGCCTCCTCCATCATCTGTTCCAAGGCTTTGAAGCGACTGAAACGTAAAAATTCAGCCTTATGGTTCTGAACATGGATACGTGATGCCTCACCCAACAAGATGACGGACTATTTCTTGCCACAGTATGCCTTATCAAACCACTGAATAAGAAACTGTTTGGAAGTCATGAAAAATGCATGCTTGTAAAGCTCACGGGCTACATCTCCACTCCACTCATGCATACCCTATCTACCATAGCCTACAAACTTGCATCGTCCCCAAGGTGCAAGTTTTTTCGTTAATCGTAGCCTTACTTTTTATAGACTTGACGACCAGCTACCACAGGAAGAGAATCGGGTACAATGACGTAAGCGTCTGCGCCCTAACAGTCCCTTGTCTCCTACGCCATCTCGGCCATCTCCACCTCCTCCCCCTCGCACCTCTCGCCGACCGTATAGTCGGAGGCGACCAGCCGCTCCTTGTCGATGCCGACCCGCTGCAGCTCGCCGTTCAGCTGCTCCAGCTCGGCGTTCAGCTGCTGCGTGCGGATCTTCTCCTGCACCAGCTCCTCGCGCAGCGCGCACAGCGTCTTCTTGTCCATACGGGTCTCCTGCACCAGGCTGGTCTGCGCGCCGAAGGGGGGGGGGTAACACAGGGACGACACATGGAGGGAAGGGGTCACACCGCGGTGATCTGGGGCGCGCAGAAAGCTTCCGGGCGCATAGCTGCGGGCGCGCGAATGAAGCGCGCGACTTAGTATCTGTCTGATTTTAGTGGATGACTTCGTGGATGGCACAGTACATGCCACGTGCGGCCTCCCGTCCAATGAGTCAACAGAATAAGCACGATCATTATAGAGACTGTTGGAAGGTCGTTCTGGCCAGTAGAACGGAATAAAATTGCATCTCAGGAATGTGCCATTGTCCATGGACTTGACAACTTTCCAACGCGACAGATCGATCACGAATTGTTCGCGGACCGATCATGAGATTCTCGTGCAGGCGCGCCTCAAACCCACGCACCCAGCCATGATCCCTCCCCCACGCTGGCTCTCCTACTGGTCCACTCACGCACCTTCTCCGTCTCGAGCTGCTTGAGCATGGCAGCCTGCCCATCGCGCTCCTCCAGCTCCTTGGTCAGCCGGCGTCCCTCGCGCTCGAGGGTCGCGGCGCGCGACGAGAGCTCGTCCACACTGGCGTCCTTCACCTCCACCGCCTGGCGGAGGCGCGCCGCCTCCTTGGCCAGCGAGCTCTTCTCCCGGCTCAGCATGTCGTTGGAGGCCTCCAGCTCGGTGTTCTCACGCTCCAGCTCGTTCAGGCGCCGCGTCGACATCTGGAGCGGGGGGTCAAGCGGGTAACAGGGGCGAAGGTGCTGAGGTTGACAAGGACGCACTGTTAACAAAGACAGAGGGAGGACAAACACTTCGCTGATGGCGTGGTCAGGTCTCACTCTCAAGCGCACTAGAGAGCTTCGATCATAAAACCGACCGACGATCTGCCTCAGCAAATAATATCAATGGTTGAATCGATCGACCAACACCCTGACTCGACTTCACAGAGCCTACTGTACCGTCACAAATCATGCTGTACGAGTTTCTCACGACACGGGTAAGAAAACCGGACCCTCGCCATCACCGAAACCACACTGTCCACGTCCTGTGCGCACCTTCAGGGTCTCCACCGTCTTGAGCAGCTTCTGGTTTTCGGCGTCAAGCTCGCGGTTCTCGCGCTCCATGTCCTGGGCGCGCCGCTGCACCGCCTGCGACGTCTTCTCCAGCTTGTGCTTCTCCGTCTGCAGCGTGGAGAGCTGCCAGCCGGCGGATGATGGTCAGACCGAGGTCGCCCGCAGGGATTTTCCACTGGCGCTGATCCCCCAGCTGTCTGTCTGAGTGCTACTGTTGTCTATAATACCCGTCAGTGGTGCTGTTCCGGACTGATATTCTGGGCTTACGCAATGTCGTCAAAAGTTGGTTTGAAGGCACTTGAGAGCATACTCTTACGACTTTCTTAGCCCGACCACCTTAGAAGAAAATCTGTTCGCATACATGTCTGTAAATAAATGACGGCAATAGCTTTCTACTTAAAACTAGACGCATGAAACGCCCATTACCAAACAAGGGGCACAGAAAAGTCGTACTCGGCCCTGGCGCTGTCTCCATACCTGGACATCGCACTTGATGTGGACATCCCGGAGCGTCTGCAGCTCCTGCTGGAGCGAACTGCTGCTCTTGAGCAGCTGCTCCTTCTCTTGTTGGAGCTCCTCCAGCCGGGAAGCGCTGGAGTGCCCCTGCTCCATCAGGTGGCGCTTCTCCACCTGTAGCGCGGCGTTGTCCTGCTTCGCGCCGTCCAGCTGCGGAAGAGGACGCAAGGTCAGAGGTCGCTTCAGGTCTCCGTTGACGAGCGACCGGCATGCAAACGGTGCCTTGGAACAGTCCAAACATTGGGTCAACCTCATTTAGGAAACATTTCTTTAGCGCGGATTCGGCGGATTCGGCGGATTAGTCGCGGATCCGGCAACCACATCACGTTTGGGTCCTTATTTGAGCGGAGTCCTGACAGGTCGACGCAGGCTGACGGCAGAACAAGATGAGCCTGGAAATTACGTACGCTCGCACAAATATATGATTGTCGTATTTTGTCCCTCATTACAAATGCATGCTGAGAGAGTGACAATGATCCGTAAACGTTTCTAGCGGCCATCGCACTGGGAGAACACGAATGTAACCATACAAGGAGAGGTTAAAAGCTCGTCTCAGATAAACCCGGACGAAAACGCGGCCTGCACAATCGAAAACCCGTCCACAAAAACGCCAGGGAAATTTAAATCTCCTCCATACCACACGACTTTTTAGCGTACGTAAATGATCTGCACGAGAGCATAACCCACGGAGCACGCGCGACCCGGCCGGCAATCCACCGACGCCAGTCAGCGGGCCAAATCCTCTGGAGCCCGCCCCACCCATTATCCCCGCTAATAGAGGCACGGCCTTCGTCCACGCCGACTGGCTGCGTTTTTACTCTGCGGCCGCGCACGCATGGCGGCGCCGACAAAAATGGCGCGCGCGGCAATCATGCGCAGTTTTTGCCACCGGCTCGTGGCGCGGCCGGCGGTCCGTGACCTAAGTCGCGCCTCGCCGAGCGGCTGGGGTCAGGCGACGAGCCCCAGGGCGGGGCGGCGGGGAAGGTGTGCCCAGCGGCCGGGGACGAGGCTGGTGCCTCGGCCCTGAATGGAAGGAATGGAGTGTGCTGGATGCGTGAGGCACAAGGTGTAGTTTCACAAAATCACGGCGGGGGGGAGGGAGAATGAACGGGGAAAAATGACCCAACCTATGCCCAAAATACGTTAACAAACAGGTTTCTTCCCAGATTTGGTGCACTTCCTTCCCAAAATTGGGGAAGCCCAAGCTGAGGGGAAGGGTGCTGAACCGCCCCCCCCCCCCCCCCAATTGAAAGGGAAATTACACCTCTGGCGAGGTGTTTCTACTAGCCGCGTCCAGGGCATCCAAACACACCGCGGGACAAATATAGCTCACACGTTGGAACTCCATTGCAAATTGACCAATTACCATCCGACCAGTGACCATGCAGCCATTTGGAAAAGGTTTTCCAATGAAAAGTGGAAAATACCATCGCTATAGGTAGTAAGGTCAGGTCACCTACACCATATGAGCACTTTGATGAGACATGAAATGCAATATTCATATCCGTACCACACCCCACTGCACACAGATTACCAGTAATCTTCAAAGCATATTACTGGAACGCGTAATCTTATCTGCTCATCCCTTATGCTAATCTCCCATCCGCCCGCATCAGAGGAGCGCCGCTGGTCGCGGCGTCTGCCTCCCGCGCCCACCTGCTGTTTCATGTTGTCCACGAGCTTGGTGAGCCGCTGGTACTCGGCCTCCAGGCTGGAGTGCTCCTGCTCCAGCCGCTCGTGACGCTCGCAGGTCTGCCTCAGCGACGTGATCGCCTGCGGGCGGGGCGGGCGTCACGTGACGCGAGCACTGGCCGATTCGTCAACGTGGGACAATTCACCATGAGCAGGCCTATACCAGAGACGGGGGGGGGGGGGGGTCCGTGGCAGAGGTCAGCCCGTTCGGAAACGGGCCAAGGGCCGTGTTTCATATCCAGTAAAACTGACACTACGTGGTCACGCAATTCCCTCTCCGGTATCGCCAGATGTCTCCTATCCTCTGAAGCCCGTCCCTGTCCTATTTCAGTGGTCCTGTCTCGTGCCGCCATACCGAGTCCTCTCCGGTGGCGTCCTGCCCCTGAGCGCACGTCCCCGTCCCTTCAGCCGCGCCTCACTCCAGTTCTGACCGTCTGCAGGTGCCGGTTGTCACGCTCCGCATCGGCCTTCTGCTGCTCGGCCTCCTCCAGACGGAGCGAGCTATCGCGCAGTCGCTCCGTCAGCCGCTCCAGCTGCTGACGCTCCTGGCGCAGCCGCGACAACTGCCCGCTCAGCTCCTGAAACGGCCACAGGTGACGTCAGCATGACGTCACTGATGTCGACAGATAAGCTCCTGACGCCGCCGCCTCGACAACTACTCGCTGAGTTTGAAACAGCGGCGCGACGGGCAAAATACAACTAGCTATCAAACCTGCAAATCAAGGTTATGTGAGAACATGCATGCTGAAAGACGGAAGGGAAAAATAAAAATAAAGAAAAATCAAAAATCAAAAGAAAAAATCAAAAGTGGCTCTGGGAAAGAAACCCTTCGTTTTTTAAGCATTTGCGGGCAAACGTGCGATGGGAATACGTTGTATTAGCCGGGTTTCAAAGCAACCTTGTCGAACATTAATGCATGCACAAGATCGGGATGTTTCCAGGTCCAAAGTCGTTCCATACTAGAAGCAGCATATCAGTCAAAAACACCATTTTCCGCCGTTTCTAACGATCACCCCAGGCGTTAAAGTTCAGCAACATTCACGTTTACAAGAGGCATTCTCCCAATCGCAGCATCACTTACTTGGTAGGGCCCCGACAATGTGGTTTGACAAGCGACCAATGGTTACAAATGTCGCTTTTAGCGGTGTTCAGCCTCTGAAGTGGCTCTCGTCGACACTAATCGACCGAAAAGCCCCCCGGCCGCTGAATATGCATGGCGTCATTAATCTCCCACGTCCTGATGGCCAAGCGGCGGCGGACGGCTTCTCGAACGAGAGGGCTTGGTCCGAGCCAGCGCGTCCGCATCCAAAATAACACCCGCGACGAAGTCGGAAGAAAAGGGCGAGCCGATGGTGTGGCAGGGGTGGTAGAAGTCGAGATCGGAACAGATTAGCACCGTCGCCGTTTTAAATGCTGTAAGCCACCTGCAAACGTGTTCGAGCTAACACGTAAGCATGGGGTTCACAGAAAATATATGCATAGCGTGGCATGCACGGTTTTCATTCTTATGCCGACTGGCCGCGCCTTTGCTAAGCTAAAGCGTTTCCTCGTGTCGGAATGAAAGCAGCATTCTTGAGATGGACATGAGTAAGAAGGGGATTGCATTCCGGCCGCGTTGCGGACCTGGTTTTTGACGGTGAGCACGCTGTTCTCTTGCTCCACCTCCTGCAGGCGGGTGTCTCTGGTCTTCTGCTGGCGCACCCGCAGCGTCTCCACCAGCTCCTGCAGCTGCTGCTTCTCCCGCTGCCGGACAGACGGTGACGTCAGGCCCGTGGTCGCCTCGAACGCTCGAGGCCTGGCTCCGGCCCCGTGATATCGTGAGGGTGCGGCTATTTACGACTGCGATGACACCCACTATCGGGCCAATCACTCCTGCATGGGAACGATAGTGGCACTGTGCGCGATGCAATCAGGATATATTGCATGGATGTCCGCTCAGATTGGATCAAAATTAAGGGAAGACGCGCGGGTTGACGGGAAAGGGGACGGCTTTGAATGCTGCAAGCCATAGAGGGGTGAGTAAGGAAGTAGGTCCAGGGGTTGGGGAAAGAGTGAGTCGGTTGCGGGAGGCCGCCAACTGAAGTTGGTTGCATTCGTGTTGTCTATCGATGGAGGCAAGTAGTTTGTTTTTGGCTTAAGCTCAGGCTCGACAGTCATCACCGCCAGTTGCATTTAGCTGTACAGACCGCGATGAACCGCAGTCTCTTTCTTTTCGTTTGAAATTGTGCAACGATTAAAACGCGAAAATCAGGCAGTGAGAAGAAAAATGGAAGATCTCAAATATGCTGGGCGATAATGTTCCAAACCAAAACCTCACTGAGCGATCAAAGCCAACAGAAATGCACCGCGGAAAACGATACAGCGGCCAGACATAGACCAATCTTGCCCACCAACCGACCGACCGACAAAACTGCCTCCCGAATTTATATCTACTTGCTCGCCTAACCCATCAGCACGCACGGTCCTGTCATCCAGAGTGGCGAGCCACCCCAGCCGTCGCCGTGGCCCCGGTCACCGTGCTGACGGCAGCCGCACGCACCTGCAGCTCGGCCTGCTGCCGGTCGCTGTTCTCGCGCACCGTCTCGATCACCTCCTGGAGCCGCTTGGTCTGCTGCGCGCCCTGCGACCGCTCCTGCTCCAGCTCCTCGGTCCGCGCCACCTCCTGCTGGCTCGCCTCCAGCAGCTGCTCCACCTGCCGCGTGAAGTCACAATGGCCACGTGACGTGTGTGTGCGTGTGTGTGTGTCATTGGGGCTCAACGATGCACTCAACTGCTGAGGCTATATGGCGTCGCCTGCCTCTTACCCGACAGGAAGGGAGGGCACAGCGGGGAATCAAACCCCGTACCTCTGGTTTCCGAGATGCGCAGTGGTTAACGCAGACGCGTCAACCACTACACTAGCGGCAGCCCGCCACGTGACGCGACCGGAGTGGGCGGCATGCCAGGACGGGGAGGGGGGAAGGGCCACCAGTCAAGAAATGGGAGACTCTGGGGTGGAGCTTTTAAAGTCTTTAGGAGATATAGGACGAGCCAAAATTTAATAATCCTGAGCGTACGCGACTGGGAGCAAGGGCAAACAGAGAATTTGCATTAAAATGGCAAAGAAAGATAATTGTCAAACTTTACGTGTGTTTGGTTTCATCACAGAAGGCACCAAGAGCGAAAACAACGGAATGCATAATTGCACTGTCTTTGGAAACAGCGCGGAGCACATGGCTCCATTCTCCACAGACACAACCATTCCTCGTGACAAACAATTTTTTGACGAATCTTCACCATTCAGGTACAGTTACTTGATAGCAATCGCACACGTCGGTAAACATGCAACGACACGATCACTTTCATCAAAATTCATCGTGCACGGATCAGACCGAGCACGAAACATCGCCTACCACAACACAAAAATGTGTCCGGTCTTGTTACAGCCCATCGCTAGCGGAGCAGCGATAGTATCATCC